TCACCTAGGAATGGTTTCTGGGGGCGTTCAACACTGAATATTTTCCTGCACAACTTTAAAATGAGAAAAAGTTAGAATTTATGCAGCTAACTCCGAAAAAACTTGTCAGTAGTTGAGTCTACCCGGAGGTTTAGTGAATTGACTTGTTTTGCTCTGATAATTATGACTGATGAAGGACAGAGGGCAAGGAAGTTCCAATGGGGCTACGCCTATAAATTCAGGATTCTCTTGCAGTTTTAGAATTGAGTACTTATGATGAAGTCTTGACAAAAGCAGAGATAGTGGATAACATACTTAAGGGTTCATCCTTAGGAGCATACAGTTCTAGACCCTCTGTACCTCCGAGAAGGCCAACTCCAGTGTTTGGTTCACAAGATAAAAGGCCTAAAACTCAACCGAATCACCATCAAGAATAAATATCCCTTGCTAAGGATTGACGATCTATTTGATCAATTGCAAGAGGCCCAACTCTTTTCCAAAATTGATTTATGATTCGTTTACCATCAGGTAAAGTTAAACATGAAGATGTTCCAAAGACCACTTTTAGAACCAGATATGACCATTATGAGTTCTTAGTCTTACCTTTTGGGTTGACAAATGCCCTGTCGGTATTTATGGATATGATGAATAAGATATTTGAGTCCTGACTGAATCAGTTGGTTATTGTATTTATTGATGATATATTGATTTATTCAAAGAGTTGAGAAGAACATGTAGAATACTTAAGACATGTTCTGGAAAGCCTTAGGAAAAATAAGTTATATGTAAAATAGAGTAAATGTGCATTGTGGCTTGAACAAATCACCTTTTTATGTGCATTGTGGCTTGAACAGATCACCTTTTTAGGTCACGTGATTTTCAATTACAAAGTATCTGTGGATCCGGCAAAGACTAAGTCTATTATGGGATTGGAACGTCCCACCACTGTGAAAGGTGTTCGTAAATTTTTAGGTATGGCTGGGTACTATCGTTGATTCGTAAAAGAATTTTCTAATATTGCAACCCCTCTTAACCGGCTTACTAAGAAAAATACTAAGTTTGAATAGATTCTAAACTGTGAGAATAGTTTCAGAAAACTTAAAAATCGACTTGTGACAGTTTTAATATTAGCTCTACATAGTGGATCAAGAGAATATGTAGTGTACACTGACACATTAAATCAAGGTTTAGGATGTTTTTTTATGTAACATCGTAGAGTCATCGCATATGGGTCAAGACAATTGAAGAACCATGAACGAAATTACCCAACGCATGACTTAAAATTAGCTGCAATTGTATATGCTCTTAAGATCTGATATCATTATTTGTACAGAGAGACATTTAAGATTTATACTGACCACAAGAGTCTTAAATATCTCTTCACGCAGAGGAACTGAATATGCGCCAATGTAGATAGATGGATCTTCTTAAGGACTACTATTGCAAGATATCCTACCATCCAGGAAAAAAATGTGGTGGCTGATGTATTTAGTCGCAGGACTTCCAACATGATCGCAAAACTAATAGCTTTTAAATAGGAAACTCTAGAAACCTTACAAGAATTACAATTAGGCATTCAGAAATGGGAAATGTACATAGCCAGCTTAAAAATCAAGTCAGTATTGATTCAGAAAGTTAAAAATGCTCAAGAAGCTAACTCTCTATAGGGACATTGAGGAAAGAAACCGAACAAGGTTTAAGACCTGGCTTCAGAGTTCATAATAATGGGTTGCTTCAATTCAAAGAAAGACTGTGCACTCCTAATGACCTGAACTTGAAGAGACTCATCGTAGAGGAAGCACATAATTCTAGATTTATCATACACTCAGACATCACCAAGATGTATCAGAACTTGCGACCTCGATGTTGGTGGAATGGGATGAAAAAAAGATATCTATGAATTTGTTCATAAATGTCTCACATGGCAGAAGATCAAGGCTGAACATCAAAAGTCATGGGATTACTCGACCCCTACCAGTTCTAGAATAGAAGTGGGAACATATCACTATGAACTTTATGATAGGTTTGCCTAAAACCAAGTTGAACCATGATACTATTTGGGTGATAGTTGACAGATTAACGAAGTCAACCCATTTTCTACCAATAAAAGCTACAGATCCTTCAGACAAACTTGTCAGGTTATATATTAAAGAAGTAATTAGACTTCATAATATTTTGTTGTCAGTAATTTCATATCAAGATGCTCGTTTCACCTCTAGATTTTGGACGAGTCTTCAGAAGGCTTTAGACACCACATTATCTTTCAGTACGATATTTCACCCACAAACAGATAGGCAAACGGAAATAACCATTCGGACATTAAAAGACATGCTTAGGGCTTGTGTACTAGAGCTGAAAGGAAATTGGGATGACCATCTACCATTAATTGAATTTATCTACAATAACAGTTATTAGTCCAGTATTAATACAACTCCGTATGAAACACTTTATGACAGATCCTATAGATATCTTATATGTTGGGAAGAGTTTGGAGACAGGAAATTAACTGGACCTAAATTAGTTAAAGAAGCTACATTAAAGGTTGTTTTAATTAAGAAAAATCTTCAAACCGCCCAAAGAAGACAGAAGAGTTATGCAGACAACTGTAGAAAGGGCTTAGAATTTGAGATAGAGGATCATGTGTTCTTAAAAGTGTTACCAATGAAAGGCATTATGAGATTTGGAAAGAAA